GCAAATGCAGCTAACCTTCACCCCCCATAGATCCCTGTAGCACTGCTTTCTCACTGCACAGGCCTTGCTAGAAGCGCTACACCATCTCTTGAAAATGTTGCTGGCCCAGCTGAGGCAACCTCTTGAGTGCGAAAGAATTGTATGTGCAGCGTTACAAGAGACTGACTCAGCTGCTATGCTTAGGTCTTAGGTGGACCCCCAACCCTGTAATAGTGGTATAATAGGAATATACGAGGACCTTAACATAATCACCAGTATCCCTTATAGTCACTGTTTAAGTTTGGGGTCCACCTAAGCCATGCCTAAACCCCAAACCACAAGCCCTAAACCCTAAATAGTAACTTGCATTTTCTGTTCCATTATCCCTATATAGCCCCTATATACCCCTACATCACTCTATATACGGATTTCGGTTCGCTGTCGGAGTCTCGTCCTGCTAAAGGAAGCCATGATGGTCTCAGGCCCTGCCACTGAAATGGAGCCGAGATCCCTCGGAATTAGCAGCAGGGTGATTTGTCAAAATAAGGTACGTTTGGGGACCCTAGGGATATGTGAGCCATAGTCTAAACCCCTAGTATCCCTTAATCACGCCTATAGTAGTGCCCCTATATAATCCCTACATAACCCCCTTTAAGGAGTTTAGACTACGAGTGAAGGTACGTGGAACTCCGGTTGTCAGTTACGGTCACGGCTTTGCCTCGGCGCCTCTGGTCTAGGAACATCCTGGTCCTAGTGATGTAGGCGATCCCCTGAAAGCTTTGCCTGACAGGCTGTTAAACTATGCGCCATGAAGCCTAAAGCCTGGAACCTTCAACTCTCAAACCTAAACCCAGAGACCGAAACTCAGCGCCTCAAACCCTCAACCTAGGCCTTCCAGGCATTTTGCAGGTGTAACCTGCTTTGCTCCTTGCTTAGGGAACCAAAAGAGGCCTGCAAAGATCACTGTTTGGGGTTCCCAGTCTGTTTGGGGAGGGACTTGGCCGCTAGATTCGCTAGATGATGGGCCTACGTGCCCTTACAGTGCTCTGCACGGGGTAGGATACGGTGGGAGTGATACTCATGCTGCCCCAAGCCACCCTGTATGAGCTATACTCTAAACTCCTAACATCCCCCTTACTAACCCCTATAGTAGTCGCCTATGTAATCCCCCAATAACCCCCTTTGAGGAGTTTAGATTATGGCTCATGTCATGTACGATGCATGCCCTGTCTTGCCCAATTGCTCACTGAGGCACTCCGCTATAAATTCAATGCCTGCTTCTCACACGGCTTATCACGGTGTCATATACACTCACAACGGGAAACGGTGTATGGGTAGTTTTTGGGGTTAGTCCCTTCAGGGGATTGGTTGGGACCCCTCGGAAATTCTATGGGCATCATTTTGAAGAGCTCCGAAGTTTCTTTGCCCGGATGAATGCATAACTTATAGGCCTATGTGTGCAAGGATCCTTAACATCCTCCTAGAAGGCCTAGGGGCCATATTCGAGGCCCATGCTTGGAAATCTTAGAATCTCACACCGGACAGCTCTGTGCGTGTGCCTACTGCGTACCAGATGTTGTTATATAGTCCCTCTTAAGTAGATAGATCATGGGGTAATTAGGGATCTTATTATAATATACCCAAAGCCATATTCTATCTACTTATGGGGGACCATAGCTTCTTCTTGGAGCTATAGTAGGCCACCGTGTCAGGACGGTTCATGACCTCCATAGTCTTACTGGTCGTTGTAGGGAATAAAGGAACACAATCCCTATGTAATCCCTAGAGAGTCTAGTCCCTCATGCCCTGCTAACCCCCAACAATCCTTAACCCCAAACCCTAAACCCCCAAACTTTAGGAGTCTGAATGACCAAGCTAGGACATCAGGGGACGGCTTCTTTTCACCAGCGCTGTGGCAAAGGTCGCTCCCGGAGCCAAATATTCAGCGCCACCTGAGGGTTTCCCAAAATTAGGCACTTAGGGGCAGGGTTTAGGGTTTAGGGTACCATTTTGGGGATCCCCATTGTGAGGCTTCTAAACCTACGGGTCCCAAGTATAGGGTTTAGGGCTTGGGTTTTCCAAAATTAAGTACTGAGGGGTACTCTTTTGGGGGTCCCTATAGTGAGGCTTCGAAACCTCGGGGTGCTTTTAATGGGGTTCTAGAGGGATGTATAGGGGTATATAGTGTTTAGGGCTTGGGTTTAATTAGGTACTGAGAGGTATCATTTTGGGGGCCCCCATAGTGACCGTTTGGCGTTGCTCGTACGAAGGTTATGACTCAGCCTCAACGTGTAGATGGAGACCATGCTTCCAAGTAATGGCTAAACGTTAGCCATTTCTGCAACCGAGAAGCAAGAGCTGCATCTAAGAATGGAAGACACTCCTTCACAACCGTAGTGGGTCCTGAAAGAAAGGTCTCATCCATGGTGCCCGCACATCCTGAACGCCCACAAGGAGCCCTCCAACTGGAGGAACCAAACCGACAGAGTCTACGGGCACTCACATGGGGTTACTCAAAATCAGGGAACCGTAGGATAAGTGGGAATTAAAGCGATATTATGGACTTTGCTTGAGACACTCTCCAGGGATGATATTGCGAAACTCCCGGGTAAAGAACCAGTAGCAGTCTTGAAATACTTCCGAGCTAAACCTAGACCTGAAGGTTACATAATGCGTACGTGCTTCTTACAAACGATGGTTCTTATTTTTTGTAGGGGTGTGCGTTGGAAAGACCCTCTTGCTGAGCAATGCCGACTTTGCAAGCTCTCTAAAGCCAGACACTAACCCTACACACCCAACTTAGATTGCTGTTAAAGAACTTAAGCTAAGTTACTATAACAAGCGAACCACGTCATTTGCTATGTACCCAGATCATTGTAACTTAAGCCCTACGCCCCAAACCCTAGTCCCTAAACCCTAGCCACTAGACCCTAAACCCTAGTCCCTAAACCCTAAACCCTAAACCTACACCCCTAATTCCTGACGGCCGCGCCGCCTTGAGATCTTCGCTGCTGTGTGGCAAGGCCTACCGCGACACTTAGTGGAGAGTAGTAGGCATTAAGGGAATAGGGATTATATAGGGATTGTGCGGGGATTGTGTGGGGATTAAATAGAGGGGCTACAGAGATTTAGAGGGATTACATGGGGAGTGTATGGCGGATTAGATAGGTAATAAGTAGGGATTATATTAGATTGCATACCTTATTCTCACTAACATAAAAAAAGTAAGAATGGCAGCTCATGAGACGGCAGCTAAGGTAGGACTCAAGCATGATAGCTACGAGTGTCCAAACCTGGGACTAGTCCCCTCCTCCTAATATATCCCCGGCGCCCTCATATTTTAGATAATTCCATTGCGGTGTCTTACAATATACTTGGAATATCTAGTTTGAAGGGTCTGCCGGTTTTGATTTTAGTGGGTGGTGATCAAAATGTATCGAAGCCCCGTCAAACAGTGACAGTGGAGACACTGTAGAAAGAGCTTCCTGAATGGCAGCGACAAAGCCGTGACAGCCATCACCGTCCATTGGGCTTTGTCATGCCAAGTTGAGGGTGACTTACGAATGCTTGCAATGCCGCTTGCACTGGTCAGCTCATTCCATGGCTGGGTAGTCTGCGCTCAATTCTTTTAGGAATTGTCCACCCCCGAGAGTGAAAGCTGCAAACTGCAAACCCTGAGGGCTGAAAGAATGACCACATCATCATACCTTACATTGCGAACAACAACATCATTAGTATTGTCCTCTTGGTCATCTGCTTGGCTACAAAATGGACCTTCGAGTCCCTGAGCCTTCATAGACCTTTGCACTTTCTGACGCGTGAGCACGCGGGGCACTCTAGCAAGCTCTCCAAAAAGCTGGCACCTCATGCTCCGTCTCCTCCAGAGGCACACCCTCGGCCGAGACCTGAGATTTGGCGACAATAGCATTTAGTGTAATAGTATACTATATTATGTAATATTATTCTATAATATTATACTATATTGTATAAGATTATACTATATTATATAATATTATACTATATTATGCTATATAATATAGTATAATATTATACGATATTATATAATATTATACTATATTAAAAATTATTATACTATATTAAAAAATATCATACGATATAATAGAATATTATACTATATTGTATAAGATTATACTATATTATATAATATTATACTATATTAAAAATTATTATACTATATTAAAAAATATTATACGATATAATAGAATATTATACTATATTATATAAGATTATATTATATTATATAATATTATACTATATTATGCTATATAATATAGTATAATATTATACGATATTATGTAATATTATACTATATTATATAATATTATACTATATTATATAATATTATACTATATTATGCTATATAACATAGTGTAATATTATACTATATTATATTGCTCTTCGCTCTCCACCCCGGAAGTCTCGTTCTCTCATGCTCATGCCTCGCGCGAAGTCCTAAACCATTACTCCTGATTCCCGCTGCCAGGATACATTGGGCCAAAGCAGGGCGTCGCCAGGACTGGGCGTCACCTCAACAAACTTCAGAACACTCAACAATATCACCCAACTGCAGACAGCACACGTTGGATGCTCTTTGGGTTTCTGAAGCAGTTTGGCTAGCACAAATACCCCTGACGGAGAGATGTATCCATCTTCCGTTGCAGTCAGCGCCCATGATCTGATTCGGCAAGTCCCTGATTGATACGTTTTTGAAACCCCTCTCACCACTAGCCAATCCCAATTTAGCCTGACTTACATGAAACGGAAAATCATACAGTTGTCCACCTAGGAAGCTTTCACAAGCCAGATGAAATCATGTGTTCTTAGGCAAAGCCGCAGAGGAGGAACACTTATGGGATAATCTGCGCGTGAGACACTTTTTGCCCTGCTTTTTCTCCAGCTCCAGCCTTTCGATGCACGTGACGTTGTCAAAGTGAAGAGCAGAAGTCGGAATACCCTGTAACTCTACGCAAGGCCCGGGTTCTGAGCTTGCAACGCGCAGGTCAAGCTGCGTGAAGCCTCGGAAGGCAAGTAGACGTGTATGCAATGAATAATGACTGCATCTCTTCAGTGAAGTGTACGAATCAGCGTGGCACTGTTCTAGCATTCCACCTTGGCTTACCTCTCACACCTCCATGCGCCTCGCTGACCACTGGAACGGGACCAACATCCATCTTTGCAATATTGCTGATACTGTTATAATATATAGCTATTACTATCTTTGTTAGAATTGTTACCAATACATTTGAGGCCCTTGCTAATACTATTACTGACATTTATGACTCTTACGAATAATGACTTGGCTCATGTCCCAGGATCGTTTCCAAAGAATCTAACACTAAAAGGATAAGTGTGGGCCCCTCCCACTGAGAATGCTAAACGTCCCCGGCCGCTCATAATGCGCACCCCCAATATGGTTCCATGATCCCATGATAGAATGCCGGTTTATTCTTACAGAGTGAGGATTTGTTCGCACAAGCCCTAAACCCCTAAACCCTAAGCACCCAGCTTTGCGGGCAGGGGGCGTGTCTCTCCACTCAAGAAGCCTGGATTGCTTCCTGCAGGGAGAAGCTGGGTACTGAAGAGGTTTAGGGCTTACGGTTTCGGGCTCTGGATAAGAAGCAGTACAGCATTTCGAGGTCAATCTAGACCTATCATATCAGAGCCATATATAAGGAATCTCGGACCATAATTTTGGTAATTATTTAGGCTACTACATTTTTTCATTGGACGGACCTGAGGAAACATGAAAGGGTATAGAAGGATTACATACGCTGTAAGTACGCAGGTTTGGGTTTCCCCAAACATGTCATCGTCCGTGTGAGAAGGAAATAACCTTGATTTTGGAAAATCACCCAGCTGTGATTCGAAGTCTTGGCTTCGCCTTGTGCCACTTAGGCTTGTTGTTTACTGGTATCAGGTATCAATGTTCCACGGAAGGAGGTGTAGCAATCGATACGGAATACTCGAACACTCTGTGGGAAGGCATATCACATAGATGCGCTTCAAAACTTCTGCAACGCGCAATTCTTTCGGTCAGTGTATGGTGGGATGACACAGGGGTCATGACATGAGGTCATGAAAGAATTGAAAGAGTATTCTACAGGGGCTTCGCGAGAATGATGAGGGATTCCCTGGGTTAGCTAGTTCCTATGACTTGCTGGTGCTTAAAGGGCAGTTGCGGGGGAGGGGGGGGCAATACAGGTACTATGATGGGCGTATACAGTTGGCTGAATGTTTCCAGAGTGATCGCCCTGCGCTGGCTTGCGTAACTGATAAAGAGCGTGGGATTTGAGATGGCCTTTGCGCTCTTAGTGTCTGCTGGCAATCATGTCTTCATGACTTTTTTGCTCTGTGTGTGCTTTAGATATTGATAATAGGGACCCTCTGAACCTTCGTAGTCCCGGCGGATTAGATGTCATATCCGTCAAGCTCTGAGGATTTTTTCCGAGAACCCATTGTAAATTCTCCCTTTGCGCGCACCAAAGAACACTGTTTACATCAGTGCCTACGGGTCCCCCGACTGTAAAACATCTGTCATCTCTTCGCATCCCTTAATAGTAACCCCGTTTAGAGTCATTGAAGCTATCATAAGTTTGATTTGGGCTTACCTGTAAGCCGAAATGTCCTCTGCTTAGCAGCCTTAGCGCAAGAATTGCTGGGTATAACGCACAAAGCTGATAGTGCGGCTGCAGGTATGATGTTTTCTTCGGACCTATGAGAGACACCAGAGGAGATCCGCGAGGGAACTTGTAACTATGTCGAATCCATTCTCCCTCACCTCCCAAATCCGAATGTTTCAAAAGATCCCCAGTATGTTCGGCTACTATGAAGAATATTCACCATGAGTGGGAATTGCTAGAAAAACAAGCCAGGTCAATGTCGCCTAGATGTGGTCGACGTTTACAGAACTCTCTATAGACCGATCTATGGTGAGATCTCAGAACAGCGCAATATCAGGAACGGCTGTTTCTCAACAAATCCCTCTTTTGGTGTCAGTGTCAGAAGAACTGTATTTAAGTTTGAGGGCATACACGGGGTCCTTATCACAAGACGCTCCCGTACACTGGTGGCCTCAACTTCCCTAAATGAAATACCTACTTTCAGAGACGTCGGTTCCTGCTGGTGCTCTCAGATATACGAGTAGGGTGGCCAAGCGCTGACCCGCTAGCCAGAGGGTGGCGTCCTGGTCAAGGCCAAATTGGCTACACTTACAGGGAATGGGCTACCTTTGGGTATCCCAGAATTCCGTATCCTTTGTACTTCTGGATGACTACTGATAAATCAGTTCTCTCAGGATGTGAAAAATCTAACGTAAGAATTCTACATGATGCGGTTGGTGGTCGCCCTATCTGCTCCCTATGTCATCAGATGTGCCCTTTATATCAAGGCAACCCACCGGTGGGTAGGTATCGGGTGTGTCCTCAAAGCAGGTCTATATGGACTTCTCATAGGTTGCACAATTTTATGACCCTTACACGAGCCTCATATGGGTGTGCTCACCTTGTAACTACCCACCTTGGGGAGTTTTCACTGATCAACTGCAAAGCAAGAAGTCCTGTACATCCCCCTATAAACAAAGTCCCAGATTTCACCCACACACCACCACTCCGTATAACGCCTACACTCCAGTGGTAGACCTTGCAGATTTGCAGCCATCTTGGGTCAGATTCAACCAGGTATGAGGGGCAGCCCATAGTCGTCTCGGTTTGAGGATTTCGTGTTCGGGGCTTGTATGGGGACTAGGGCTAGGGCCCACCAAGGGCTATCAGAGCTCCTGATTCCGCCCTGTGCTTACGAAACAAACCAGGCCCCTGCAACAGCATCCTCACCCATTATACATGCCCCCTAAATAATGCTCAATATCGGGGATTTGGTTACCCCAAGGTAGTACTAGCTAGTGCCCCAAAAGGTACCACACTTTTGACAACACTTACTTGGTGTTGCTACTGCAATCCTCCTTCCGGCCGAAGTCGACATGTGCTGCGTAGAACTCCCCAGCCCGGTAGCGGACCAATTGAAGCGGCTCCACATGACTCTCTGGCCTTTGGTTAATGCGGGATTATATAGGGTTGAGGGATTTAGGGGGAGAATCAGATGGAAAATCATTGGTTTACACGGGGTTCTAGTCGGAAACAAAGGGATGTTGCTAACCCCTATAATTACTCCCAGAAGGAGGACCTTGACCATCACATGACTCTCGTAGGCTCGTAGGTCTTCATTATTGGGACTTGGGGTTACCAGAATCCTCTGATTCTTGGTCTAAGGTTTAGGGTTTAGGGTTTAGGTTTCCCGGTGCTTCAGAAGCTTGCTCGATATACACGAATCTAGAAGTGAACATAGGGGTATGAACCAAAGTCAATGTTCCCGGTAAAAACAAGGCACATGAATTCCTATTAGAGAACATATTAGCGACTATACTACACTACCGAAGAGGCCCTTATGTTCACCCTTAGTTTTCCCTTGGCAAACCTGATATTGACAGTAGCTCATATGTGCATACGATCATGGGCTTCAGATTTCTTCTGCCTGCCTAGCTTGTCAAGCGATACGCGAAATGACCATAGCGGGACTTTATGCCGACCCTATGATGAAAAAAGGTGCCTCAGACTACAGGAAGAGGTGGTTCCCTCAGCCATATACGACCTGATTCTGGACTTGTCTAAGTTTGCATTGGTCCACTGATCCCATCGGAACATATGCGAATCCTTACTGTAGCGACTCCCAAGATCTTAAATTGATTGGGGAAATGGATGAAAGCCTTCTACTGGGGGGGCTTCCCCAAACAGGAGCACATGATAGAGATTATGGCTCTAATGGTTGGAGCCATGAGCACCGAACCAAAAAAAGCAGCCACAAAGCGATGCTGTGTTGAAAAAGCTCTTGAGAGCATACTCAGAGCCTAAGAAACAGCAGGGGTGCCATATAAAAGTGTACTAGAGATTCTTACATCTTACGCTTCCTCCGCTGCTGGTGAAAAAAGACGACCCTCATTTCATCGCCACACAACCCTCGAACAAGAAGCGCATGCAGCCTTCAAAAAGGCTAACCACCTACATGCAACCTTCGTCTCAGACTGCCTATGACCAACAATTTGTGCCAAAATTGATAGCACTCCTTGCTAGGGCTCTGCAATGCTCCCGTCAGCTATCCAAGGGGCAGTCCAAATTCGCAAGCGGCGCGCTCGCGCAGACTAGACACGACCTGTGGCGCAGGAGTTTTCGGCTCTTATTTGAGGATCCTGCTGCCCTACAGATTTTGACCTCCTCTGCGACCCCATATGCGCCTTCTCCACCCCCTAAAATTTCTTTCAAATCTGGAAGCACCGCACTTTGCATCTTCTAGTTCAAAGACACCGACACTAGTCCCAAAGATTGCAGCTTTGAGCCTGCTTCAAGAGCCTGAGCAATTACCGATGGTCTGCCCTTTCCACCCTTGAATGGCTGGAAGAGAAGTTACCTGAAAGGCCTAAGTCCAGGCTCCTTGCTTGGGTCTGCTGCATAATGTCCCACACGCACCCAAACCTTCTTCTCTATTTTGATCCGCGGTAAAACGATTCAAACGACCGCCGTGTGCTCCTGAATAAAGGGAGGCTTCACTCCCCCTAAGGGTCCAAGTACCCAATAATCAGATACTTACCCAAAATTGTACTATAGTTATAATTACCCAAATCCCAAGTACCTAATTATTGGGTACATGGACCCTCTGGGTTCATGTACGTTTGGATCCTCATTCAGGACCCGTGGAGCTTGCACAAACAGCTAAGCTCCACCGGAGACTTGAAAGACCTTCAGTTCCTTGCGGGGTTAGCTATCTGTATAACTCGAAGGTTTCAAGCACCCGAAGGCTGAAGGTCTTTTGCGTCTTCGGTGACTGGAGGGCCCCGCCTAGACATCTTCTGCTCTTCATGTAGGGATATGAGATAGCCGCGTATCAACCACGAAAACCTCTGACATATTCTCTGCATATGTCCGGCTGAAGTTGAGGCTATCTTCAACTGTGTCAATTACCCGGCCCCATATCCTGAAGTGTTGGAGGATCTTTGTCAAGAGCGAGGATGTTTGAGTAAGGACCCGGCGCAATGGATATCCATGCATTGTACAAGATGTCAAAACCTGCATCCCTTTTATACCGTATAGATGGAACCCTTCAGTACGTAGCAGCTCTTTGTGCTGAAGCAAGGACAGTTGATATATACATAGATGCACATGCTTGTTGGTATGTTTATATATACACATACATATACACATAAGTATATGTGTGAATGTATGATATATGCTCTAGATTTGCCTTAAGGTTGGATTCTCCTGACCTTGGGACTGCATCCTCGACGGCGCTATCGACTCGAGGATGCACCCTAGAGCGCCAACTAGCACATAACTTCGGCCCAAATGGGTTCGAGTTTGCTTTAGGCATTTTGGCCCACACTATTTTGCATGTTAGGATGGTCAACTCTGATATTTGTAACGTTCCAAGAGGCTTTGGGACCCTGTCAATGAGACAGCTTCCGCAGGGGCCCAAAAAATCACCAATGTTATGTTTCTAGATTGCTTGTGTAGCTATGGTGTAGGGTACTTCAAATCAACCAATCAGAAATCACATTGGTGAGTATGTGGGGCCCCTGTACTTGGAGGGTCAGGGGACTTACGACGTAGAATAATGATGGGGACCACTGGCTTTACTTTTCTACGTCTAAACCCCAAATATCCCCCTTGATAAGCCGTATAATGGCCGCCTCTATGTAATCTAAAGAGTTTCCGCTATAGCTCACATGGCTCATAGGAGTGATAGGTCTACTTACTAAGTCCTCCCGACCCTCCAAATGGTACCCCCGCTCACTGCAGGGCGCAGGAAAATCTCCGCTTCAGCGGGTGCGCCTCGCACAATGCAGATTTAGGGTTTAGGGATTTAGGGTTGAGGGATTTAGGGTTGAGGGATTTGGGGCCTAAACACTCGACCCTGCGGCTTACAGTTTAGGGATTAGGGGCGCAGTCCCTGGGGATCCAATTCCACAAATACTACCTACATTGCGCCCTAAAGTCTGCACATACTACCTGCCTTGGGCCATTGGGAGCTCTGGGATTTGTAGGGTTTAGGGTTTAGGGTTTTGGGTTCTCCTTTACGAAGTAGGGTCGTGCGGATTCTGGTGTTCTGGAGTGTTTCAGGGAAACCTATCAGTTAACTTTGGCAGCAACCATCTCGGATTCAGAGTTTCAGCTGGTGTGGGGATTCAGGGCTATTAGCTTGACATTTAACGCTCAGAGTCGAATCAGGGGCTCCGATGTAGTTCCCTTTTGGGTAGTATACTACTATCCCTTACCCAAAAGCACAATTACAAACCCTAAGCCCTGAATTTAAACCCTAAAACAGTCACAAACCCAAAAAAGGAACTCCATAGGAGCCCCCGGGTCGATGATCACAAACGTCTAGAATCGGCCGGTACGGTCTGCGGATGACTTCAGGTCTAAGTGCTCTCCTCGCCTAATATTCAAGACCCCACCACCCCAGTCGCAACAAACTATAATATACAACTATGGGAATATTTAGTATGAAGGGGTTGAGGGTTTCGATCTTAGGAGGGAGGGGATTAATCAGGACAGAAGGCGGTTCTGTTCCAGTCCTCATATGTAACAGGTAGTATATAGGGAGTAGTAAAAAATCTGATTTGCAAGCGCTCAGGTTCCTACATTTGGGCACCATGTGTTTACTGGGCTCTGTCGGTAGCACCAAGCAAGACACTTGTCGCCACACCAATTCAAGCATCACGGGCTGGAGAACAAATCTTGCTTCAAGGTTTCCCATCCCAAATGAGGGCTTCCCAAAATCAGGGGTACAAGTCTTGGGGGTTCCTGGATTGTAGTGTACAGAGGTCTATTTTGGGCTCCCCCTGTGTATGGAGACTGCCAAATGCCGTTGCTTCTTGTGCAGGCATGGACAACCGCTCGTCCAAATGTTCATGAATCATGGTTCTTCTCCCAAAGCCCAGCAAAGCACGTGGCTGTTCAAGCAGGCCACCGAGAGTTAGGGAAGAGGCCAATGAACATTCTAAACCATGCGAACCAAACTTTGGAAACTATTCTTTAATGAGTGCATAACCAACACTTAGCAAGTCAACAGGTACGGACCAGACTCATGCTTGAAGGAAACTCCCGGGCATGACTACTACCTGAGACCTGGCAGCAGAAGGCCATGCTACGAGCACCATTTCTAGCCGCCAGGCTCTCAACCAAAGAACTTCTGGTGAAGAATCCCTTCTTCCTCGACACACCTCAAGTGGGTATCAGAAAGCATCATGACATCACACCGAGATTGTTAAGGAAACTGAATCCGGTTTAGGGCCCTACTGGAGACTTCTACCGTATGCCCCACGGACGCTCTTGAAGAACACGGCTTTAAAGCATATGATGCAATGCGCAATGTCCAGTATGCTGTGCACTTGAGTGCGTTGTGATGGTTCCAGGTCTTTGGTGCAGGGCCTTACTAAATTTGGTAAAGATTGCGGGCTGCCACATATAGTGAACCCAATGCCTTCCCCCGTGGCCTTGCTCAAACCTCTGAAGAAATGTGATGCACACAATCCCCAATTCCGACCCACCCTTTCCCTTCTAAAACAAATGAAGGACTGATGCCAGTCCTTTGGGATCCGACACAGAACCCGGGTCCTCCTATCCAACACAATTTTAGCATATGTCCAGATTGTAGGGACACGAGCAGGAGGCCCTGTTCCCCTCGCGCCTTGTAGTCCTCATGGTGGGGAAGCGGCTCAACCTATATGGTGAACACACATGGAACGGAGTTGCAGATTGCAAGGTTTAGCTGTCAGGGCGCTCGTTTCAGGCTGGAGATTGCTGTACGAGCGCTGCAGGGGAAGAAGCCCAAATCTCAGATTGGAGTCCTATGCATAGCAAACATCAGCTCCGCTGGACTGGATAGCGACCGAGGAACTGCTTGAATTAAGCGCAAGTATCTTATCAAGGACCAAGGGAATTCGCAAAAATGGTGATGTTACGTTACAAGCGGCGTGTTACCTATACAGAGATGAATTACGAGCGCATCATTGGCGTCCTTTTAGCAGATGGCATATGCGGAGATGACTTTGATGCATGCCACATATGGCCCTTGGGGCCTTGTGGAGCCTGCACCCTCCCAAGGCACGGGCAGATGCAATGAACCCACATCCAAGCCCACAAATGCAATACAGCAGGTGGGCCCCAACGCCCGAAACATCGCTAAACAATGGGAGCATATCCTGAGGTTCCCACAAATACAATGGTGGTGAGAGCCGGCACGACAAGCTCGTCCCGTTCTTCGTCCACGAAGGCTTGTCCTTGGCTGCAAGCTTGTCTCTTTAACCATGAGGCAGGACACGCGGCCTGCACCATAGGCTCTTAACCCTAGCTGGGGATGGACCACTGGTGAGCGCAAACCGGTGTAGCCTACAGAACCCATGGACCAAACCTGGCACCCGAGAGCAGCCATTTCCTGAGAATTCTTCTCTCATAAGGCTCCATATTCAGTGTAATTTAGAATAGTTTCAATTCCCCAGATTAAGGACATTTTGGTACTATTCCCTATATAGACCACCAGTTAGGGTGAGGTCGGGTGAGGTCGCTTTGAATTGCCTAAATATTTCTTTGGGGCAGTGCAGCACTACCGAACCTTGGTGGAGCATATGGTCACTAGCGGAGACAGGGTGCGCATACTCGCCCTGCAAGCGCATGGACTTTCAAGTGAGCATGGCATTTCAAGTGAGCCCTACGAAGACCACTGATTTTCTACAATGTAGATAAAGGTATGGGACCTCATGTGTACTGCTCTCACACAGACACACACGTCCATAGGGATCCAAGTATACGAAGAATACCTACATTGGGCCCCAAAGTCTGTAAATATTACTTACATTGGGCTATTTGGATTCCTAGGGCATGTTGCAGGTCACGCAGAAGGAAGGCACAGTCAGGTCGAATTTCAGCAGTGTCGGAGTGAGGGTAAAGGCCTCTAGGCGTGAAGGTTTCTTAAGCTCGGAGGCATTTGTAGAGGCTACCCTCCGACGGATTTGGTAACATGCTTTCAGGCAGTAGCTGTGGCGACGATTACGCAACAAGCGGCATAAATGTGAGAATTCACAATGGGGCGCTGAGGGCCGTTTGAGGTAATCAAAAATAATCAAAACGCAGTATTAACAACATGAACTACAAAGGATT